GTAAGTTCTATGAAGTTCTTTCATATGAAAGGATCGATAGAGATTTTAAACGATTAATGAAAGTCTATGTGTTTATATTTATCTGTTTTTACACTATATACTTGCCTGCGATGGATTATGATCCAGTGGCTGAATGTCTCGAGAACGATGAATTACGGTTCACTGTAAGTCTACACATACTTACAGTCTATTGCAAGATACTCCTTAATCCCCCTGTTGTTTTTCTTCTTTCTTTCTTTCTTTCTTTATGGGATCTTGGTATCAACCCATATTTTATCCCAACAATATTGATACACTTTTAGGAAAATAATTCCTCTCGTGTTATATTGCAAGAGAAAAAAAAATCCTGTGGCTTATTCAACAGTTGATAGTGATAAGGGAAAGGATAATAAATGAAAGGAAAAGGTATTAAGAAAGCGCAGTATATTTACATTTTTTTTATATTGGGATGTAGTTTCTTTTGAAAATGAACGGTATTATCAGTAATTGTGATGGTTCTTTTTATATGTATCATTTCTACAAGGTAAGTTCTAGAAAAAAAAAAATTGTATGATTCCAATTTCGCTTTTTTGGGGGAAAAGGGAGTCTACAGGTGTTCCCTGTCTGTCATTCTTGTTCCAGTATCTACATGTTTAACTTTAGATTCATTAACTTTATAAAATTAATGATTAAAAATCTTATTACAATTGTAGTGGACTATCTGCCATTACAATCGTACATTTACTATGAAATATCTGCGAGTCCGTACATTTGCTACATTTAGTTAGAAATTAAATATACATTTTTGGCTGAATATATTATGCTTGCACATGGAAAATTACTATTCTAGCCAATCACAAACTACTACGTCATATCAAGGGGTGCGCAGTGAAACCACAACAAGTAAATGAAACGTGATGGGTTTTCCCGTAGAGTTTATGGCCTCGTGATTAAATCTACGCTGCTGCCCACATCGACCCCCACGCAGTTTATTTGCTCCAAATTTCACTAGAGATAAAATTTACCATAAATTATACTGCTACATTTTTTTTTCTTTTTTTTGGGGGGGTGGGGGGGTGCATTTTAATAAAAAAAAAAAAAAAAAAATGCAACATAAAACACCAAAGATTGGCATTAACGCGTTGAAGTTTTTCGACCCGTAAGGATCCTGTTTCTGACTATTAATCTAGTGCATGAATAAGGTACCTTTGCGCCTCTTTTCCAAAATAAAATCATCCCTCGTTATAAAAGGGAGACACGAGAAACAAGTAAATAAATCACACAATTTCATTTTACATCTTTAAATTGGACTACGTGGAAGAAAGAGAGAGAAAAAGAAGGAACCCGGTGATCAAAATATGTGAGCGACTCCGACCTCGTCCGCTTGGTCTTGTTACGTTGCAGGCAGCATCCTCCGTCTCCGCGTAATGCTGAAGGTTACATCCCACGTCTCGCGGTGATCTGGCAGCATCCCCCCCCCCCTAATCCCCGGCACTTGTGGGGTTCCAGCGCTTCGTGTCGCCAACTGACTATCCAGGGCTTTAGTTCTCGCAGCTTCATCTTCGAGACTGATCCCGGTGGGCGGGGCTTGAGTGGAGGGAGGAGCAACGATTACCAAAGGAAATCTCACCCGCTTGGCAACCATGCATGCTAACTTCGCTCGGGTGGGGGAGCGCTGTCTTCACCCCGCGGCAGACCCGGGTCCTCGGGCGATTCGAAACGGCACTGACATCAAAATCATATTAAGATTCACGTGTAATCAGCAAAGAGTGCGTCTAATCCTTTTAGTCCGTTGATTTGTTATGTGATTCTCTCTCTCGTCTGTCTCTGTCTCTCTCTCTCTCTCTCTCTCTCTCTCTCTCTCTCTCTCTCTCTCTCTCTCTCTCTTCTCTCTCTCTCTCTCTCTCTCTCTCTCTCTCTCTCTCTCTCTCTCTCTCTCTCTTTTCTTTTTCTCTCCTGCTCGTTGTTTACTTCCCGTCGTCTCTTATATTTCTGTGTGGTGTGAGTGTGTGTGTGTGTGTGTGTTGTGTGTTGTGTGTGTGTGTGTGTGTGTGTGTGTATGATACCCACACACAGACATACATATTATGCTCAATGAGACGCTAGGGTAGGATGGCATCATGACATCCGGGTAATTTCTCCTCTGTCTGATGTTCTCTATATGCTAATTACTTGTATTTCCATTAATGAGTCCTGTTGAGAAACAATACATTGCTTTATAATTGCAATGGCAGTTTCGAAAGACAGCCAAAGGGTAAATAACAATACAGGTGTAACATTCATATTTTTTTTTTAGATTGGGAAAGGTATTTCTGCCGATCGTGACAATTACAAATGTTAATCTATGATTTTTATTCTCATACACACAAATTTGAATTTTGGATGGTTTTCTCTCTCTCTCTCTCTCTCTCTCTCTCTCTCTCTCTCTCTCTCTCTCTCTCTCTCTCTCTCTCTCTCTCTCTCTCTCTCTCTCTCTCTCTCTCTCTCTCTCTCTCTCTCTCTCTCTTCGTCTCAACCCTAG